CTAGGAAGAACATCCACACAAACAGATAAATACAGCCTTCAATGTTACATGCTGCAATATGAAATTTTAACTTCTTTTTGTAAAGCTTCTGGATTTTGCAACTGCTGAAGATAAGATGAGACTCTACAATCACTAGCTCTGAAAACAATAATTTCTTATATTTAGCTTTTGTTTGTGGTTTTAGATCATTATGGTTTGCCAAAGTATCAATCTCTACCTGTTTCTTAATAGAAGTTTTTGTGCAAAGATCATTCTTCTCTCCCTACAGCTTGCATCCACTTAAACGGGGGAAAAAAGGAAACCCATTTTATGTTATATGGTGAAATTCAACTAATAAAATCCTGTAGTATTTCTGGGACTTCAGCAACTCTAACCGCTCACCAAGCAGCATTTACTGATCCTATTGAATCCTCTTTCTTTTGCGCTTCAATCCAATGAGGCAGATTTTGAAAAAAGCAAAGAAACAAAAACACTTTACCCAGAGAAGACAGCATATTCAGACCAATAGGGTAAAACCTAAACACGCTCAGCCTCATTAGAACAGCCTCATTAGTAGCAGGACGTTGTAAACCGGGAAGATTTGCTTGCCATATCAGCAGTGGTCTCCAGCAGAGTTAGCAAGACTCCCATAAACTACCCAAGACTTCAACAACAGAAATATTTCAAGATCACTAAAAGAACTGAATTATTCATGATTAATAACCATTAAAGAGCAGTGGCCTTTTCTCCTTTATTTACAAATCTCGTTTCTACAAATACATTAGTTTACTTACTGAAGACTGTCTGGGAAGACTATGACTTCTGTGTAAACAGTTGCCTGTGCAATCCATTACATATGAACTGTCCTTTAAGCCACATCAATGTTGCTCCACTTAGGCAAGGTTTAAATAAAAAGAAACCCACCCAAACAGGAAAGGCTAAATATTACCGTGTGTATGCAAACATTCATTTGCTACTTAAGAGTCTCAAGATAAGGAAGAAGTTGGCTCCATGGACTCAAAATATCTCACCAGATTACCAAAGGACCCAAAAGATCCCCTTGGATAACCAAGTCTGGAATTGAGAAAGCTCATGTCAGTTCATGGAATTTCAAGTTTTTCCTAAAATGGGATTTTTATCTGAATTTTTATTCTAATTCTTCACAAAAACAAGAGCTGTGGTCTGAGGAATGGGGATGAGGTCTGTGCGATGAAGCTACTCAGGAGCTGGATGCACAAAACTGCAGGAAAACACACAGACTGCAGAAGGATGCCTGGGCACCCACCAGTTTCTACAAAACTGGTACCCTGCAAAGTGAGGAGAAACCATGCAGAAAAAAACCCAGTACCCTTAAGGTGAGATACAAAGCTGCTGGGAAAGTAAACAGACAGACTTTCTCACCCTCAGGAACCAGAAATCTATGGGAGGACAGAGGGAGTACAGCTTTCTTCAAATTAATTAGTGGTCGTAACGCACCCCATGAAACACTAAAGTAGTCCTTCATAATCATTAATTTACCAGGCATACTTCACAAAAAAGAATTACATAAAGTTTAAGAGGAGAAAAGAAAAAAAGAAAACACAGCAAAACTCCACACAACAAGCCCAGCATACAGATCTATTCACATCTTCTCAGATTATTTTGTAGTAATCAGTCACACTAAATCATATCAGCCCCCTAAAAAAGAAGATTTTTAAATTACAAAATTAGAATCCCTAACTTAAAACTCCAATTCACATCTATAACATATCAGGATTAAAATGTAAGTGTCCTCTGCATCCCACCTCCCCCTAATTCAGGTGATTCATGGCATAAAACTCAACATCAACTCTGGAAGACACAGCAGTTTGCTTCCCCTGTATAAGATTAGCAGGGTTGGAAATTACTAAGCATGTAATAAGTAGTAATCGCTTTTTAATCAGTACTACAATATTTGATGCTTTCATTGAAGAATGCAAGACTATGGAGATCTCTCAAGTAAAGCTGCAGGATTTAGCTAAATTCACATCAAGCTTCAGTTATGTATATAAATTTATATATAAGTGAATATATTTATATATGGAGTACCTGAGGTGTTCCATATATATTATATTATCAGTGCTGATGTCAATGAAGGTTTCAGCCAGATGAAGTCTGTACTGTATGTGTTGACACTCATGTTGGACTATTCTTGACAAGTCTGTTCCCCACTACTCCACTGAGGTGAGCTGAAGACACCCAACAGAAGGGCTCTGCTACATCTAAGCAAGGATATATCATCCTGTCTTTCTACGTTCCACGCACAGAGCCCAACCAAGAAACTCGCCTGTTCTCTCAGTCTGCTAATGTCTCTGACAAGCCACCAGAAAGGATCACCATGTAGCTAGCAGCTGTTTCTTAGACACCTCTAAATGAAAGATTTTCTCTTTTTTAAGGTATAGGGATGACGAACATGACTAGAAATAACCTGAAGAGACCAAGCACAGTAGGAGGGAGCAGAAGACGTGGCTGTGCCAAGAGGTGCATCCAGCTGCTGAGCCTGCGGGTGCATCTGCAGTAGACAGTAGACAGACAGGATGAAAGATTAGGGAAGGTGTTCCTGGGCTGGATAAATTTGAGTGATGAGAGAAGTTTGCAAAAGTAAATCAGAAAAAAACATGCTTAGATAAGATCAGGTCTAGAGGAAAATAAGACAAACGGGGGAATCAAGTCACAGTTGAGATATCAGAGATGCAAAAAGTAAGTAGAAAGAAGAGAGCCAGAAAGACAGAAAGGAGTCAAACTATGAAAGAAAAGCGGCATTAGATCTGTAAAAAATTATGAACAGCTAGAAAGACAAAAAGTGGCAGTGAGAATGGCGAGTGTGAAAGTAAATAGTCTGACTTTAACGTCGTAGGACAAACACTAAGAAGGGAATTGTAAATTACCACACAATTTTCCAGTTCCCCACAAAATCTACATCTGATTGGGAATCATTCACACACAGCTAGGAGAGCCTGAGAAATAAGTATGAACATTACAAACAACAATCAAGTAAAAAGTACTCTCTCTTCTCGTGATTGTCATTTATAAAGGTTCCAAGTCAGATATTCAGAGGAATGGGGTAGTAAGCCGCAGCACCTCGCTGGTGCAAAACAGATACTTTCCTCAACTCAAACACATCCAACTTTCCATCCTTTGGCAGCCAAATGCAAACACGAATGCTGTTGGTCTTGAGCAGGGCACTGTGGAAGATAAAAATAGTTCTGCCTACAACAAACACTTGTCTCTACAGGCTCATAGCACAGCAGTTGAGAAGCACAAGGCGCACTTCCCATTTCTTCATAGCACATCAAATCACACGCTCAGCCACTTGCAGATTAAAACTAGCTGTCTTACAGATGTGTGACTAGTGATACGATTAAAGGAGCACATAAAATCCTTGTAAAGATACTTGTCAATTTGGGATTCTCCAGACACAGCTCATCCCCAAAAAAGTCACACTGCACAACACATGGCAACATGAAAAACGGGGGGAGGGGGG